CGAGTTGGCGGAGCCCATTTGACCCGGATCGTTAACCCACCTGAGATGCTTGGCGCATGTGTAGCCCACTCACAAGCCAGGGTGGGCCAGGTATAACCCACCTTGGCATCCACTTGTAACCCCCCTATCCACTTAGAACCCCCCACGGTCATCTCAGCAGATGCTCGTTTTCTCGGGGGGGGGGGCTCTGGCTCCAGCTCGGTCAGGCTGCAGTCAAGGGAGCGTGCTTCCCATGGAGCCCGAGCAAGCTACCCAGATCCCCTCGAGGCGTGGCGGAATCGCGACGGAAGGCTTTCCGCCGCTTTCGGCCTCCGGGGGCACTTTACTGGGCCTCGGGACCTTCAGAACAGAAAGCAACGCAGGATGAGAAACCGGTCCCGGGGGGAGGGGGTCGAGACCTCTGGGGGTTCAGCGTCAAAAAAACAATTCGACGTCGGGGGTCTTGGTAGCTTGTATGGGGTTTGCCCCCTCCCCCCCCCCCTTTCTTCCCCCTCTCTCCCTCCGCCCCCCCTCCCTCCCCCTCCTCCTCGCCCGCCCCCCCGCCGGAGGATGGGTCCCTCTCTTCAGGATGCACCCTCACGGTAGGTTCATTCAATCAGAGGGGGGAACTAAGGTACCGATACTGCTACCCTTCTCTCTTTTTCGCCTGTTTGGGCCTCCTGTCTCATGGGCGAAAACGTATCGGGCGCAATCCTGGGCTTACTGTACTCTGGGCCAGGCCAGCATGCTGGCCCCAACCCGGCTTGTGAGCCCTGGTCGTTCTTACGCAGACCTTCCAGCAGTTGCTTCCTGACTTTCTGTCTCCCCCCACCGTGGGCGCAAAATGTTTCCGCATCTGCGGCCTCGCGGGCCAGGCCCCTGGGCCGCGACCCCGCGGACACGGGGCGTGTTATTCGCGGATGATGACCCATGGCTTGGCATCGCTCGGACGTGTGCATTTTTCTCTCGGCGAGGGCCACCGAGGAGCATCCCTTGATCACTTTGCGAAAAAAACCACGCACGAAACCGAAAAAAACCCAGGGAATGGGACGTCCGAGCGATGGCCAGATGGTGCCCGGCGCGGCACGTGTCCGCGCGACCGCGTGCCCGCGGGCCCGCGCGACCGCGTGTCCGCGGATCCAGACCGCTGAGGCGCGGATGCGGAGGCGTCGCCCCGCTCGGTGGCCCCGTGGCCCAGGTCGGCGGGGCATCGACGGCAGGCTCGACGCCGCGCGGGGCCCCGCACGCAGGCCGAGCCGTCTCGAAACGCAGCATGCTGCGCGCTGTGGCTCGGCACGCGGTGGCCCACTTCTGCGGACGTCTTGCGCCGGAGCTCCGTGCTCTCTGCGTGCTGAGCTTCGTCCAGCACGCTGCGGGTTGAGTGTGGCGTGCCGGGGCGGCTCGGCGCGCGACGGAGCGACGTGGGCTCCCAGGAGGCCCCCCGAGCGCGAGCGGCCGAGGATGCGGGAGCTGGCGGGGCTGGAGCAGGCCTGCTGCAGCGACGGCGCCCGCTGCTGCAGCGGCCGTCGCCCGGAGGCCTTGGCGACCGTCGCCGATCCACGAGGGGCTTTCTGCGACAGTGCCGGCGAGGGGCCGCTCCTGAGCGGCGGGTGGCCTTCCTCCTCCCCTCCTCCTCCTCCTCCCCTCCCTCCTCCCTCTATGTCTCCTCCCTTCCCTTTCCTCACTCGCCCTCCCCGACCCTGTCCTCCACCTCCTTCTCCGTCCCGCTGGCCTCCGCGTGCCCCCCCCCACCCCACCCACACCCCCACCCCCCCTCTGCCTCCCCCCACCATCTGGCCCTCCCCCCTGTCCTCAACCCGTGCGGGCTCCACACCCCGGCGCCGCCTCCAAGGCGGCGCCCCAGGGGCACTCGGCGCCACAGGGTCGGGGTGTTCAGACCGCCCCTGGCGACTCTGGGGGGCTGCTGAGGCCAGCGGGGACTACCCGGGGGGGGCTGCTGAGGCCCGCCAGGACTGCTCGGAAAGGCTGTCCGTGCACACCCCGAAGCCTCACCAGCGGGTGTCCTGGCCTGTCCGCCCTCTGGAGACGAAGAGCAACACTCACCCCAGCAAACCACCCTGATAGCAGCAAAGGTGAAGGGGGCAGGTCGAGGAGTAGGAGGTCGACTTGCGAAAACGTGCCAGGACAGGGTTGGCAGCACAGCCATTCGCACCGCATTGTATTCTCTGAAAGGACCGTTGCCGTCCAGGCCAAAATGTAGCCGACACAGAGGCGAGGTCACGATCCCTGAACGACCTGTGTGGAAGTCTCAGGCGAAACGGCTGTCATTACCAGCCTGGAACATATCCCTATCCCTATGCTGGGCACCTCCTCATCACGATGCCAATCTTAGGGATTCCTCTATTTCTTGAAGGCGAATCCCTGACATTGTCATCGCCTTTTGGCGTGTCAATCTTAGGGATAGGGATACGTTCGAGGCTGGTAATGTCAGACCAATTGGGGGGGGCCTCGGGATCTCCGTCCCCCTTCTAGTACTCGTCTGTGGTCCTTTTCAGCAGAAGGTGAACTCATTTTTTCAGTGGAACGCGGGAGTAGTTGCATAAACTTTTTTTTGAGATCTGGGCGGTGTTCTTGCATCGGCGCGGGGGCCCCTGCGCGCTCCGCGCGTCGGGGGTCCTGTGCCGACCCTGAGAGGTCCGCGCAGGCCGCCGAGGAATGAGTCTTGAGCAGTTCTCTGTTTCTGTATGGAAGAGACGGGGTCCTGGCCCACACATCTAGCTTCTTGGGAACATCTGCACGGAAGGTTGTTGTTGCCGTGTTCGGTCTTGCATGCTCTCGCCAGGTCCCAGCATTCCAGCATTGTGAAACAGCAGGTTTGGATGGAACAGCGGCCTCGGGAAAAGGTCGGGACCTATGGGGGGAGGCGGGGGAGGCGATGTGAGGCAGGGGAGGGAGGAGGAGGAGGAGGAGGAGGAGGAGGAGGAGGAGGAGGAGGAGGAGGAGGAGGAGGACTGGGGTGCGACTTTCGAGTTCTTGGGGCTCTCTTAGGCACCTTGGGGTCCTCTTGGAGCGAGCCCTCTCGGGGAAGCCTTGAACCCCAGAGCCCCTCGGGTCCAAAGACGGTCATCCTCGGGCCATAAATGATCCAGGGGGCCCCCCAATACATGTGTGGGATCGCCCCGCCCTCCCCCCGCTGGATGGGTACGCCCGTGAGCCTCGCGAAGGCCTCGCGAATGGGACCGCTCCCCCACCCCCCTGTTGTCGTGGCCCTGTGGGCGTGGCGTGGTGGAGGGTGCGGGTGCCCCCCACCCCCTCCCCTTGTGGGTGGGTGTGGGGTGGGTCGTCGTCGTCGTCGTCGTCGTCCGTCGTCGTCGTCGTCGTCGTCCGTCGTCGTCGTCCGTCGTCGTCGTCGTTGTCGTCGTCGTCCGTCGTCGTCGTCGTCGTCGTTGTCGTCGTCCGCGGCGTCGGCGTCGGCGTCGGCGTCGGCGTCGTCATTGTCGGCGTCGGCGTCGTCGTCGGCGTCGGCGTCGGCGTCGTCGTCGTCGCCGTCGTCCCCAAATCCCACCTTTGGGGGGGGCTGTGGATCCCTGGGACCCATCCCATCCCATCTGGGGTGGTGGGGCCTGTGAACCCTCGACCCGGGATCACATATGGCTCTTCCTCTGCACTTCCAGGGTATGTAGGAGTCTTCTCGAAGCTTCCTTCTGGGATGACCGTGGGGGGTTCTAAGTGGATAGGGGGGTTACGCGTGGAGGCTAAGGTGGGTTATATCTGGCCCAACCTGGCTTATAAGTGGGTCACAAGCGCCCGAAGTAGCTTAGGGGGGTTAACGATCCGGGCTCAGTGGGCTCCGCCCACTTAGCGGAGTTATCTAGCCCCCCCAAGCCATTCGGGGCGCTTGTAACCCACTAATAAGCCAGGTTGGGCCAGATATAACCCACCTTAGCCTCCACGCGTACCCCCCTATCCACTTAGAACCCCCCACGGTCATCCCAGTTGCGGCCCTCTTGGGTCCAGCTTGGGTCCTTGTTGTGCTCTTCTTGGGGCCCTTCAGGGCCACTCTTGGTGTCCCCTTGGGCATCCATGGCACCGTCTGAGGGCGCTGAGGCTCCACCGAGACAGGCGAGAAGACCGAAGTCATGCCCCGCCTGCTGTGCCTTTCGCCTTGGCTCTGGGGCCATTTGGTGTCACATTGGGACCACATTCAGGGAGCTGGGCCGTCTGAGCTTGGGCTGCCTGTTTTCCGGCCTCCTTGGCCGGAGAGCTGCGCCCACGTTCTTGCGCCACCTCCCTCCCCCACGTAGCGGGACGTGGGTGAACCTCAGAGACGGGGAACAGCTCGAAAGGGACAGCCAAACTCACGCGCCTTGTCGCTTGGAGCAAGCCAGTACCGGATCTCCTGCTCGGTCACTGCAGGCGCGCCGAAGAGCTGTTACAGGATGTCGCGCCCCTGCAGCAGAGAGAAGTCGAGGGCGGCTTCGAGCTGCAGCTGAACCTGAAGAAGCTGCAGCTGAAGGCGAAGCGCCTGGGAGAGGCCAACGTCCTGCTCGCGTCGCAGCTGTCGTGGACTGGGCTCTTTCTGCCGACGCGCCCCCCGCCGCCCGCCGCCTTCGAGGTGAGGTTCTGCTGTGGCTTTCGACACTGGGTGGAGGGCATCGCCAGCGAGGCGTTCCTGTCCCTCGGGCGGCCGCTGCGCCTGGTCGAGCTCGGCGTGCAGGCCGGGGAGCTGGCGGAGCACCTGCTGTCGCGCTACGACTGGATCCACTGGACAGGGGTGGACCTCATGATCGACGCCGACGGGAACAAGTACGGCTTCGGCCAGAACCGGAGCCTCGACCTGGCAGCAGCCCGATCCCGGAAGAGCAGAACACGGCGCGAGCACAGACTTGCGCTCGACCGTGCGCACGGATCTCCTTTGGGTCGGCGCTGGGCCCATCCCCGCCCCCGTCCTCTGGGCTGCAACTCCTGGGAGGCTGCGCTCGGCATCTGCGCTGATACATCCCTGTCAGAGATGCAGCTGGATCTTGTCTAGACCGTGCGTATCCCGTGTCATCCAGCTCAGCCCTGGGTTCAAGCCGGCTGAACCGGCTTAGATCGGCTTGTTATGTCTACATATAATATCTACACATATGTATATATATATATATACATAGCTGTGTATACAGATCCACAGATGTGTATGGATATGGAGCGTTCCAGACATGGCCTTGCCTTCGAGGATCCAAGGAGTCGTCATGTCTTCCTTCGCGGCGGAGGGGCGGCGGCAGGGCGGCGGCAGGGCGGCGGAAGTAACGCGAGGCCGCCTCCGCCGGCGGAAGCCAGCGGAAGCTCGGCGGAAGGCGGCGGAAGTGAGAGATGCGCCCCCAAGAGATGGAAACGTTTTTGTGGTTCAGGGTTTCCGGAATCCGTCAAGTGTTTCTATACATCTACAGATGTATACACATCATATGCACAGTGGCCCCTGAGTCGGGCCTGGTACTGGGATGACCGTGGGGTGGGGGGTTCTAAGCGGATAAGGGGGGTCACGCGTGGATGCTAAGGTGGGTTATATTTGGCCCAACCTGGCTTATAAGTGGGTTACAAGCGCCCCGAATGGCTTCGGGGATTGGATAAATCCGCTAAGTGGGCGAAGCCAACTTAGTCTGGATCGTTAACCCCCCTAAGCTACTTAAGGCACTTGTAACCCACTTATAAGCCAGGTTGGGCCAGATATAACCCACCTTGGCATCCACTTGCAACCCCCCTCTCCATTTAATAACCCCCACGGTCATCCAAGTAGGTTCCTCAGACGACCTCCTGGCAGATGCCTCCTATATAAGCTTCCTCGGCGCGCGGAGCGCACCGATGCAGGCGCTGTGGCGAGGGCGGCGCCAATCTGATTCCTTGTGGGCCTTCGTGCGTCCCCCCCCCCCCACGAGATCGATTTCGCCTCGTCGGACCGCCTCGCTGCGGTGCATCTTCGGTGGATCTCGCCTTGTCCCCAATGTCGTCGTCTTGTCGTGCGCACGGCGCGGGCTCGATGTGGCCTCGGCGCGGATTCGGCGTGGATCCGGCGCGGATTCGACACGGATCCGATACAGATCCGACGAGGCCGACATGGATTTGACACGGACTCGACGCGGATAGGGTCTCGATCGACGGGACACACAAGGTCCCCTGAGGATGCGACGTGAGCCTCGCCGTGTGTTGGATTGCCGTCGGCGTAGGGCTGCGTGTCCGCGACGGGGATCGGCTTGGGCGGGCAGCTGTGTGCTTCTGCGGGTGTGGTGCCCCCACCTGGCGCGGGTCGTGGAGCTCGGAGCGCGGTCGAGCCCGACGAGAAGCAGGTCGACCCTGCAAGGCCAAGGGCACACTGAGATCCGCGCCCTCCGCACTCCTGGGGCAGTCCCTGGGCACTCCGGGTGGGACCAGAAACGCGCTCCCTCGGCTCCGCGGCGGGGGGGGGGGCTGGGCACGTGCTGTCGGAACGGGTGGAGGGGGGTTGGAGGAGGAGGAGGAGGAGGAGGGAGGAGAGGAGGAGAGGAGGAGGAGGAGGAGGAGGAGGAGGAGGAGGAAGGAGGAGGAGGAGGAGGGGAGGGGGGAGGAGGAGGGAGGAGGAGGAGGGAGGAGGAGGAGGAGGAGGAGGAGGAGGAGGAGGAGGAGGAGGAGGGGAAGGAGGAGGAGGAGAGGAGGAGGAGGAGGAGGAGGAGGAGGAGGGGGAGGAGGAGGGGGAGGAGGATGGAGGGGGGCGGGACTGGGCAAGCACAGGCGGAAGGTCAGCTCTCCCCCCCCCCCTTGGCAGAGCACCCCTCCAGAACAGGGGCCTCGTGTCCTCTCGCGCGTCCTCTCCAGTCGGGCCCGACGGCACCGTGGAACTCGCACTGCGGCGGCGCGCCCGGCGCGGAGGGGACGGGCCTCCACAGAAGGCCCAGGGGGCCTCCGGCTCTGCGTGGAGTTTCCTCCGGGCCTCCCCCGAAGCCACAGGCGGGCTTCTCCGAAGGCCAGGGGGCTCACACCCAGCAGGCACCTCGAGGAGGAGAGCGTCGAGCTCCGCGGGCTCCAGGCATCGCCCGAGGGAATCAAGAGTCTGGGCCGGACCCTGGGCGTCTTCTGGGAGCTCCTCTTCTTCCCAGACTGTTCGTAGATGATGTGGACCTGGGCTACTGGCGACGAAAACGCCGCGAGCGAAGTCCAGTTCCATGCCCAGTTGTTTCTTCCCTCGTGAGGAGCCTCTCTGCTTGCCGAGACGTCATGCCCTTTCTCGCCTCCCCTCAATCGGCGCGCCGCCGAGGAGTGCGCTCGCAAAGACACCCGACGGTGTGTCATGTTTGTCATTGCTGTTGCTTCTTGTTGTTTCAGTGCGCTGCCCCACTTGGATGACCGTGGGGGATTATTAAGTGGATAGGGGGGTCACGCGTGGATGCCAAGGTGGGTTATATCTGGCCCAACCTGGCTTATAAGTGGGTTACAAGCGCCCCGAATGGCTTAGGGGGGCTAGATAACTCCGCTAAGTGGGCGGAGCCCACTTAGCCCGGATCGTCAACCCCCCTAAGCTACTTAGGGCAGTTGTAACCCACTTATAAGCCAGGTTGTGCCAGATATAACCCACCTTAGCATCCACGCGAAATCCCCCTATCCACTTAGAACCCCCCACGGTCATCCCAGCAGAGGTCCCGACCCCTCCCTCACAGGGCCCCATGATGGGCCCCAGAGACATCCAGGAAGAGCACGCCCGGAGTTGAGAGCATCGCCTCGTCGGAGATCATGGGCTCGTGCCGTTGTTTGGGGGCTCTTCCAGAGCCAAGCTCCAGCACTTCGGCCTCCCGCCGAGGGTCCGCGTGCTCATGCCGATGTCGGAGGCCTGGAGGTTGACACCGGCACAAATACTGGCGGTGTACAGTCGGGGCCCTGAAGAAGGAACCCTTTTCGTTGGGGAAGGGGCTCCGTGTTCCGTAAGTGTTTCACAGCTGGCCTCAGGTTTTCCTTATGTGTTCGATCGAAAATCGAAGTTTAACTTATGGAAAAAAGGGGCCTCGTTACTTATTTAGGGTTCCTTAGGTCAACGCCCCGACTGTACATCCACCGAGGGAGGATGACCCAGATCTCGGTGATGGGTGGTATAGGAATGGTTCGGGTCTCCGGGGCGGCCGGCAGATCACCACCGACTCCCAAATTTAGGACCCTCCTGTCCCGGTGGAGGCAGCCCCCTGTGTTTGGTCGACTAGACGTATAAGAGTGGCCTTTCGCCGGAGCGACCTCTGGTGCGGCCACAGACGGGTCCCCAGAGATGGCTGGAAATACGAAGCAGGAACGCAGCGGCCTGCGCGCCCAGGCTTGGTCCCCCGCGGCCCCCCACAGAGCCGCGCACCAAGGGTCACTCTTAATTGCCCAGGGTCCCTCATGCGTGTGGCCGATCTGGGTGCTGGTGGTCCCACCTCCGCGCCTCCCGCGATGTCCACCTCCTGGGCGGCCCGCCTGCTCCGCCGCGAGGGGGCGCGGGTGGACCTGCTGGTCCTGGACGCCCGCTTCAGCCCCGAGGGCCTGGCAGAGGACCTACGCCCGTGGCCGGGGGGCCGGTGCGCCGTGCACGACCCCGGCGTTCGCCGGGGGGGAGGGCTTCGTAGAGGCACCCCTGCTTCTGAGAAGGCGCGGGCCGTGCCTGCAGACGTACCGTCGGGGCCCCGAAGAAGGAGCCCTTTTCGTGGGGGAGGGGCTCCGTGCTCCTTGATTGTTTCGCAGCTTGCCTCAGATTTTCCTTAGGTTTTCGACACGAAATCGAAGTTTAACTTATGGAAAATAGGGGCCTCGTTCCTTATTGAGGGTTCCTTAGGTCAACGCCCCAACTGTAGGACCGGCTCCTTCTGAGAAGCGGGGGTGCTGTCAAGAAGCCTCCCCCCCTCCCCTTGCCCCCCTCTGCGCGCCGCCAGTTGGGAGGGCAGCGTTTTTGAATGATGGTTTCCTGGCACCTGTCCAGGCCTCCAAGATGGGTCCGAGCAGTCGGGGTCGGAGGATCGCGCCGCATCGCCGAAGCATCGACGATGCGGCGCGATGTGGAGCCCGATGTTCTCCACCCCGACGTCGCCGATGCATCGCTGACGTCGCCGATGCGTCGCCGATGCGTCGCGAGCCCATCTGGGGGCCTTCATCCTGGGGGTCGAGGTTGTTCGGTGCGCTTCGCGCTTTGTGGGCGTCTCCTCGACGTCCTGGCCAGAATATCTGTCTGGACAGGTCCAGGGGATGCAACAAGTGGCACGCGTGCCCTGGCTCTTGCACCAAGGAGCTGCGAGGGACAGGAGGCGTTCGCTTCCTTCCTCCAGGAGTTTCCTTCTGTGGCCAGGGGGGGAGGACGCACGAAGAACGAACGAACGACGAAGACGACGAAAATAAAGAGGTCCGAGCTCTAGAACACAGCTCTGCAAGAGAACTGTTTTACTCCCCGGGGCCAGACACCCTCGCGTCGGCAATGGGAGGCTTCTGGCCAGGTTCGGCCTCTAAGGGCCCTCGCTGGGCCCCATATGACCGTCAGAGAAGATGCCGTTCGGGATGAGGAGCCGACCCTGGGGAGAAAGGGCTGGCCGGGTTTTCTCCGCGAGCCCCGCAGACAGGGCGCTCCAAGGGCGCGAAGTCGTTCGCGCTTCGCGCTTCGAGGTTCGATGCCTCGCGAAGTGACTCCTCGTGCCTCCTCTTCTCCGAGGCGCTCCTCGGTTCCGCTTCGCGCTCCGATTCCTCCTCCTCTTCTCCCCTGGGGCGAGGCGCGAGAGAGCGAAGTTATGCGCGCTTCGCGCAGCACGAAGCGCGAAGTTGGGCGCCCGTGGTATGATTATGGGAACAGTCAGGGCGTCGGACCTGTGGGGTGGACGATCGGGGACCGACGGTACGCTCGCGCCGTCTCGACCGGCGGCGACCCCGCCGCCCGCGTTCAACGTTGAGCCAGCATCGGTCGATGCCGAACGATCGGACGTGTCGCTCCACGGCCATTCGCTCGAGGGTGAGCGATCCCCGCGGTGCCAGCAGCCGACGCCCGAGGCGGCACGGCACGAGCCTGCCGCAGGCTTTTTTCGGGCGCCCCTGCTGGGATGACCGTGGGGGGTTCTAAGTGGATCGGGGGGTTACGCGCGGATGCTAAGGTGGGTTAAATCTAGCCCAACCTGGCTTATAAGTGGGTTACAAGCGCCCCGAATGGCTTAGGGGGGCTAGATAACTCCGCTAAGTGGGCGGAGCCCACTTAGCCCGGATCGTCAACCCCGCTAAGCTACTTAGGGCACTTGCAACCCACTTGTAAGCCAGGCTGGGCCAGATATAACCCACCGTGGCATCCACGCGTAGCCCCCCTATCCACTTAGAACCCCCCACGGGTCATCCCAGTGCGCTCCTCCCGAGGCCCCCAGGGGGCCCCTGCGGTGGGCTCCGCGGGGGCCTCGGGGGGGGGGCCTGCGCGGCGGGCCGCCCACATCGGCGGAGGGGCGGCAGACTGCAGCAGCTCCGGGCCTCGCAGAGGGAGCTCGCGAGCGGCTGGGGCGCCGGAGGATGGCGCCGCAGCGCCGAGGCATCGGCTGTGCGTCCCTCCTCGTCCTCCTCCTCCTCCTCCCTCCTCTCCTCCCTCCTCCTCCTCCTCCCTCCTCCTCCTCCTCCTCTCCTCCTCCTCCTCCTCCTCCTCCTCCTCCTCCCTCCTCCTCCTCCTTCTCCTCTCCTCCTCCTCCCTCCTACTCCACTCCTCCACCCCGACGTCGCCGATGCATCGCCGACGCTGCCTCGGCGATGCCTCGGCGATGCTGGGCAAGCTCACGGCCCCACCCGTTCGGACCCCATGCGGGAGGCCTCTGGAAGCGCAAGTTCCCTGAGGTCCCCGCGGATCTCTTCGGCCCCGCCCCCGTGCGGCACCATCCCTGGCGCGCTCCGCCGTGGGGCCTCATTTCGTCCGGCTCGGTTCGGCCGCTTCGAGGCGCGTGGTTTCGATCCGCCTGGGCTTCGAGAGAGGACGACACGAAAGATGACGAAACGAAGGAGGACGAATCAGAAGAGGACGAGAGAGGAATCCTCCGAGGCATCCTGAGCTCTGAGTCTCTCGCATGTTTTTTCCTTGCGCCATGAGCACGCTCTTCAGTGGCTGCTGGGCCAGGCACGGGCCCATGGGAGGCCCAGGCTCGGGTGTCAGATCCCGGCCGCCGTGGCTTGTGCTCCAGGGCCCCCGAAGGTTCGGGGCGCTCTGGCCAGAGCTCGGCCGGCCCGAGATGGGCAGGGAAAGGCAGGCACAGTCAACCCGCACAGTGAGGACGGGCAAACTTCCTCCTATCGGTCTTCGTCCCCAGTCTTTCTTTTCTGCACAGTCAACCCGCACAGTGAGGATGGGCAACCTTCCCAAGGGTACCCTTGCATCCTTGCCCCTTCGGCCCATCCTTGGCGACGTTCGCTTGCCAGCCTCGCTCGAAAAACGCCAACATGGCCCTCCCTGGCCCCTGCATCCTTACCGCGCATCCTTCTGATACGGGCTGACTGTGCCCATTTCGGTCCTACTCCTAGTGGGTTTCCAAACCGAGAAGGCAGCGGGACGTTTCCAGGACGGCCCGAGACGTCTAGACGCGCCGAGAAACGACGAGACGTAGGCACACGGCAGGTTCGTGTCGCGTCGGCGCGGTGGCGGTCCAGGCGCTGGCGTTCCAAGATGGAACGCCTCCAGGTGCCCCCAGAAGCGGCCGACATCGAACTACCTGGGCGATCGGAGAGGCGCGGCCATTCAGGGTCGAATGGTCCGCGCGGCGTTGGAAACATCGTATCTCCACCTGTCTGCAGCATCCTCGGTCTACGGACCCCTCGGCCGCGACCCCAGGGGAGGCAGGGGCGGCTTCGCGAGGACGCGCCTCGTGGGGCGCGCATCCGTCGCCTCGGCAACCAGACGGCGCGGGCACGGGCGTGGACGTGCTCGCTCGGAAGGGGTCGGCCTTCGGCAGCATAGTGACGTCTCGTTTTGCTCGTTCCGAGCTCGGGCTGATTTCCAGAAGTTCTGGGGAGGCCGGTGCCCGTGGATACAACAGGTCTCGATTCGTCACTTCTTATCTCAGTGGGGTGCGCATCCATGGCCTCGGCAGCCAAACGGCGAGGGCATGGTCGCGGACATGTTCGCTCGGAAGGGGTCGGCCCTGGTTTAGGGGAACGAAAAATGGCATAAACACAAAAACTCAGAGGTCCGCGCGGATTTCTTGGAGGACCCACACCCCCCTCTGGCGCGCGGAGCGCGCCAGGGGCGGCGCTTGCGGCGCCGCCAGGGCGGTCCAGCGCCGATCCGAGAAGTCCGCGCGGCCCTCCGAGTGTTTGTGCCTGTGTCATTGCTCCTTCCCCTGCGGTGGCGCCCAGACGAGCAGGAACCCATGGCGTCGGGGTCGCCGCCAGAGGTCGCCGCCGACGACGACGACGAAGACGAAGAAGAAAATCTCCGGCGCCGGTGCCGCCGCCGGTGCAGCGCCCCCCGGCCGCGGGCAGCTCCGCGCGTGGCTGCCGCTCCTCGCGCCGGGCGCCAGGCTGGTCGGCCGCTGGGGCGCCGCGGTCGTGGCCGAGCTCATGGGGTCCGAGCGGCGCCTGCACAGGACCTCGGCCACGCTCGGGCCAGACGAAAGGGGGGGATACTTGGATGACCGTGGGGCTTATCAAGTGGATAGGGGGGTTACAAGTGGATGCCACGGTGGGTTATATCTGGCCCAACCTGGCTTAATTAAGTGGGTTACAGGTGCCTGAAGTAGCTTAGGGAGGTTCACGATCCAGGCTCAGTGGGATCCGCCCACTTAGCGGAGTCTTCCAACCCCCTACTGAGATGCATCCTTGGTTTGTTAAGGTTTAGGGTATTTAGCTAAAGTTTAGCGAAGTTATAAAGTTTATCAGCAGTTATCCAAAACAGAGTTATAAACTTTATAAGCTTTAGCGCTCGCTTTAACAAACGATAAGAATACAACGTTTTCATAAGCTCCTTTGTTACTCTTCACATCAGTTTGCACTACGTAGGTTGCACCACGTAGGATGCACCGCATAGGTTGCGCCGCGCTACATAGGTTGCACCACTACAGGTTGCACCGCTTAGCATGCACCACATAGGTTGTACCACAGCACATAATGCACCACATAGGTTGCACCACATAGGTTGCACCGCATATGTAGGGGCGGGCGCGTAGCACCAGGTCCGCCGCCGAATGTCGTCTCTGCCTCTCCATCTGTCGTCGTGGTCGTCGTCGGGGTCCCGCGGTTTCAGGCGCCTGCAGGAGGAGGAGGAGGCAGCAGGAGAAAGAAGGATGAGGAGGAGGAGGAGGAGGAGCGGAGCAGCCCCCCTCATTTCTCATCCTCCTCTTGTTCGTTGCCTTCAGCCGCAATGGCTTAAATGCGCAGACATCGTTTCTGGATGGGCTGTGCGGCGGGGCCACGCGAAGCGCATGCGAATTCTTTTTTCCTGAGCGCAAAGCGCCAGCAAAGCCCATCATGAAAACTCCAATGGCAGGATAGTGCCGACGGTGCCGTCTGCGTACACGCAGTGTTCTACTGCAGCCAAAATAGCTTTGGTCTCCCAGCACTCCACTGGAGTCTCAGAAAGTTTCACACTGCCTTTGCAGTACCAGGGATGCGCCGAGAAAGTTCCATAACCTCCATCATAGAAACAGCTTCTCCACTGACTGCGAAATGCAACTTCACGCGGGCGGCAAGTATGCCATCGGAGCCGTTCAAAAGCACAACGTCCCCTTGCGTGCATAAGCCGAGCTGGCTGAAGCGAGAATCTTTACCTACATTCACTGGGATATCATCACCTTCCAAACCCAATGCGTCCAAGATCAGCTACCTGCTCTTCTTGGGCGCCTTGCGGCCCTGCAACAAGCCGACGTCATAATTGAAAATGTGGCTCGTTATTGCTGACAGGTGATGGGCAACGCATTCGCTCAGCAACGACTTGCTGGCTGACCCAGAGATGTTCGCCAGCTCGGTGGCGTATCTCTTTGGCATTCTATGCTTCCTCTCAAGGACGAAGCAGTTCAAGAGCCTCCCGTTTCTCAGGGAGGTGGAGAAGCCAGTGGCATTTTGGTGTCAAAGACTCATATCCAAAAGCAGCAGTGAAAATATTCCAAGAACTTATGAACACAACCTAGAAGCCTCGCTGGGCTCACGTCGACCCGACTGGTTGCAACTACCAGCTGCGACAGCTGAACGCAAGCTACCATAGCGTCGCAAGCCGCATTGGCTGCCCCCATAGGTCGCAGGACCGTTTGAGTGAATAGCATCAGCACGCCAAGAATAGACAATAAATCAGACGCCTGGCATTTTACGTGTTGGGCCTTTCTGTGCTTGTCCTTCCGATCAGCATTGCAAATGCTGTCTAAATTCGTAGCGTGAAATCTTCCTGGGAACGCCCAATTTGCCAAGAAGTCAGAGAATGACTCCCGCACGCCATTAAGCCCAGCAGATACGAACTCCTCGAAAGTTAGGTAGGTCACGGGATTCACAACACCGTCGACGAACAGCGCGTGCATGTAGTCATGCATAAACACCTCTGCTGGGTTGATCAGCCTGTCTAAGGCTCTATCGAGCAGCAAGCCTCGCTTAGCAAACGTTAAGCCCAGCGCCTGCTGCCACAGAACGAACTCTTCATTCGACAGAGTCCGCGACATGCGCCCCAGACGCCTGGCATTGGTGCGAAGCTCATGGTCAGTGGACGCCACGAGCTCATCGAGATGTAGGAGGAGGGGCGAGGAGAAGGAGGAGGAGGAGGGAGGAGAAGGAGGAAGAGGAGGAGGAGGGAGGAGGGAGCAGCGAGGGAGGAGGGAGGAGGGAGGAGGGGGGGGGAGAGGAGGATGAGAAGAGAGGTCAAACAACACACCCCAAAAAGGCCGATTTTTTTACCACTACGAAGAGGGATGATGGTGATGAGGAGGAGTAGGAGGAGGAGTAGGAGGAGGGGGACACCCAAGACACCCAACGCATAGCGACATCAAACTGTTCGGGGGGGGGGGGGGGGGGGGGGGAGGGGGGGTCGGCGGGGGGGGGGGGAGGGGGGGAACCAATCTCGACGAAGCGGTGCGATGTCTGGCGGTGGTTCGCTAAGCGCAATGAATTGCCGCGCTCTCTGAGAGCGCGGAAGCGAAAGGCTTTGCGGCTCGTGTAGATTATGCCCTGCTTGTAGACCACTGGCGGTGGCATCGAACCGCCCTTTGGCATCGACTGCATTGCGCCCATGATTTTAGACTTCGGGATCGGCTTCAAGTCGGTAGTAGCCGCCTGGGGCTTCTTCGCGCTCTTTGCAGCCGCGGCAGGCTCGGTCTTAACAGCCTTGGCGGGCTTGATGGACGCAGCGGCTGCTGCTGGGCGCTTCCGTGCTGGCGCCTCAGTCTTGGCCTCAGCGTCATTCTCTGCAGCTGCTTTAGCAGCTTCCTTCTTGGCTGCGGCTTTCGCCTTCGCTTCCTCCTTCTGCTTGCCCTTGCGCTTCTTGGGGGCCTCGATCGAATCGCGGGCGTGGGGGTCCAAGTCCTCTAAACACGGCCCGTCGTCATCATCGGCGGCGTCGTGCTCCGCATCGCCCTCGGGTTCGTGCTGCTCAGCCTTTACAGCGCCATGCTCCTCATGTTTAGGGGTTTCGAGCTCACGCTTGACAGGCGTCTCATGTTTGGCCACCTTCAGCGTCCCATCAGGAGCGCGGTGGACAGCCAAGCTGGCTCGTGGCTCTTTCACGGGAGGTGCTTCAGGGCCCCGCGCAGCCGCTTGGCTTTTCTCTTTGCGGTGCTCGAGCAACTTGTGCTGGTACTCGTAGATCAATCCCACCTCGTACGGGTCAGTCGGTGATGGGATGAGCGCCCCTGCTGGTAATGCGGTGCGTGCGTCGGCTGTGGGCGCTGGTGTGATGTCATGGCTGTAGGCGGTGCCAAGCTCTTCCTTTGCTGCTTGAAACTTTGCTTTAACACCTGGTTCGAGAGACGACTTCAGCTTGCTACTGTTGGAGCGCAACGATATAATGTCAGCGACTGTGTTGGTGCCCTTGAGCTCGATCGTGATCGGCTGGACATCATCAGGGTAGGCGGACTGGAAGATGTCTGTTGGGAGCTCCGATGGCGAAGCTGGGTATTCCAAGATGCGCGAGAACCCGAACTCCTTCTTTTCGGACTTGAAACAAGCCTTGAAGTCTTTCAGTAAATCCCAAAGTTTTTTTTGGCTCGGGTGGGGTCTCGTAGTGCGTGGTTGCTAGTAGGGCAGTCCCCCACCTGAACCTATGCTGGGCAGGATCGTTGCAACCGACGGCCATGGCGCGCTCGACCATCGTCGCCATCTTGCGGTTCACCGAAAGCTTGGGGTTTTTGAGCACATCCCAGTCCGAAGACGTTAGGTAACACCACCACTCCTTAAGCGCTTGCTTACCAGAGCCCTCTGGCTTGACGGGGCCGCTGCCCTTGGCGACCTTGCTGTCGACCATGGCCATGATCCGCTTGGTTTGGTCCTCGCCGTACGGCTCACCCCTCAACGCGTCGACGAGCTGGGTGGCTTCGGCTGGGCCGAAGCTTTTTATATTGTTCAGCATTCTGATCAGAGTGTCGGCAAAGCTCTTCTGGAGCATGGGGTCACCGCTGCTGTTCATTTCTGCCCGAGCCTTGAAAAAAAGGCTTTCGCACTACCGACCCCCTTGACTAGTAAACTGCAGCTGCAGCTTGAGCTGGGCATCCAGCTGGTGTACGTATAGGCCAACAAGCGCTGATGTGGCCCAGCCTTCGGGCTCGCGAGGTGACTAGCCTTCAAGCTCGTGGGCCGAACGGCCATGGATGAGATGAGCTGACAAGCTACATGGTGACGCTATGCGGCGCCAAGAGAGACGGCTAGCACCGAAACGGAATGCAACGGAATGAAACAATACCGAAATGGAATGAAACTGAATAAAATGGAATGAAACGGGATGAAACGGAAATGAAACGGAAAGAAGCATCATCGAACGGCAATGAATGAAATGGCATGAAACAACACCGAAACGGAATGAAACGGAATGGAGCAGCACCGAAACGGAATAACGACATCCACGACGATTGGAGGGGGGGAGGTGGGGGGCCACCCCATGAGATGAGCGAGAGAGGCCGCGGGGCCAGGAGAAGAGGGAGTAGGGGGGTTGAGGAGAACGACTACTGTTTGACTGTTGAAGCGCTTCTCCTTCTCTCCCCCTCCTCCTCCTCCTCCTCCTCCTCCTCCTCCTCCTCCTCCTCCTCCTCCTCCTCCTCATCCTCCTCATCCTCATCATTTTCCTCCTCATCCTCCTCATCGTTCCTTTCCTTTCCTCCTCCTCCTCCCTCCTCCTCCTCATCCTTCTGGCTCCTCATCCTCCTCATTATCATCATCTTCCTCCTCCTCGAGGAGGAGGCGCCGCCCGCGCGCTGCTTTTCGGCTTACAAGCCGCACCTCCTTGGAGTTGCCCTTGCTGCATGGGTCGGGCTCGCCATCCCAGATATCGCTGATATGGTTGATATCAACAATATCTGGGATGACGAGCCCGACCTACGGGGCATCCTCCTGTCGGAGGGCTCGGGGGCGTCGGGGGTCCTCCTCGACATCCCCGGGGCGTGGACGATGGGGCTGGCCT